AATCGATATTTTTTTTTTATATGCATATGCGCATTATACATTACACTAATGATTGTACAACTTACTATTACTCTTACATTACACAGGCTACATGTAGCCATCGGCTACACCTATATTTATTCAAAATAATATATAAAAAAAAAATATATATTACTATTCTATTTCTTACTCTAATGAATAATAGTTTTTTATTCAACATCAGAAAGCATATCTTATAAATCAAAAACTTTAGGTAATTGGCATGACAAATGAATAGAGGATAGGTTAGAAAAATCTTCTATAAAAGTTGAATTATTTAATTGAATTTGATGGTTATCATTGTCAAGATAATCTAAGGATTTTATAACCTCTTCTGTAAATAAGTAAAGCAGTTCAACATGTTCAATTAGAACAATAGGAAGTTCAAGATCAGATATAGAGGTTTGATTTTCGGTTTTTTGTGGTGGTTTTTTTGCATAAATTACTTGTTTGTGTTTTGTGAATATCTTTGTGATAGAAAAATATTTGCTGCATATATTATAGCAAAGTCTTTGATGTGTTTGTATTAATATTGAAGGACACTCTTCATTATATTTAAACAATTTTGTCTTGTCTATATACTGCAAAATATGTATTAGATTTAAAAAGCAGCCATCTCTTTCTTTTATTAAAGGTGGAAGAAACCCACTATTTTCCTTCAATAGATCAATTGCTTCTTTAGTATAAATATCACTACAGCAATTTTGATCAAGGCATTTTCACACATCCAAAGAGTAGCAGCATAACTAAGCATAATATTCTATTCACAACCACGTGGTAGGTTCTTTTCTTTATTATAAAAAGGTTTTTCATTATAGTCAACATAATTGACATGCACTTGTTTTCTATGAATATTATCATGCCTCTAAATTTCACATAAAGACTGATTAGAAAATTCAAAGTTGCGCTTTGCCAAGTCTTCATTTATAACTATACCTTGGCTATTAATATGAAATCCTAGAATTAAAGTTAGAGTAAAGTGTAAATTATAAAAAAATAAAATTGTTATATATTATTATATTAAATGAACTTTTTTATAATAAACATGCTTTTTTAAAAAATTTATTATAGAGTAATATAATAAATTACTTTAAGAAATTCAAACCAATGCTAATTTTTTAGTTAAAATTTACTGTGTAGATATCACACAATTTGAAAACTTTTCTATGTGATAAATAAAGAAAGACTGTTGCTAACTTGCCCCCATGGTGATGTCACCCAGAGTACTGTATCTCAAAAACCTACTAGCTAACACATGTCAGGGGTACTAAGCAAAAATGTTCAGGACCCCCAAAAACCTAACCCTAATTGAAATTTGAACCTTTATATCTAGCCCTTATTTTTTTCTAAAACTGTACCCTAACCCTAAATTTTGATAAAAATTAAAGGTGGTGACATCACTACTGGTTAAAAATAGTTATAAATATAAAGAAAAATTATGAATAACTATTACAAAAGTGTACACTGCTTACAAAATAATTTTTTCTGTGCAGCATTTAGGGTTCCGTATTTAATTTGATTTGATTTGATTTGATTCAAATATTTAATTTCAAATCAAATTCAAATATAGATTTTTAAATCAAATCAAATTCAAATTGAAAGATCAAATATTTAATTTGATTTGAAAATATTTATAAATAACTAAAATTTGAAGAATAATAGTTTCAAAAGCTATTTTTTCAAACCTTTATTAATACAATTGCTGATTTGGTTTTATGAAACTAGAGCTAATTTGATTATAAGAACATTTTTTATTTAACATATAAAATCGATTAGCTTAATAAAATTTTGTAAAAATCAAAAATATTCATAAATGGCTAAAATTTAAAGAATTATAGTTCTAGAGGCTATTTTCACAAAATTTAATTAAGATGATCGCTAATTTGGTTTTATGAAACTAGAGCTATTTTGTTTAAAAAATATTTTTATTTAATACTTAAAATTGATTAGCTTAATAAAATTTTGTAAAAATCAAAGATATTTATAAACAGCTAAAATTTAAAGAGTTATAGTTCTAAAGGCTATTTTCTTAAAGTTTATTAAAATAATCACTAATTTGGTTTAATAAAACTAGAGCTATTTTAATTAGGAGAACATTTTTCATTTAATACACAAAATTAATTAGGCCACACAAATTTAATAGGTTGGTTTTTATAATATGAAACTTTTAAATAGACTTGGCTAGCCAGCTTTTTTTTTTTAAATTTCATATATAAAAATTTATAAAATTTTTTTAAAATTTTTTTAAAATACCCATCTGGTTATTAAATATACTGTTATATTAGTACTTTTAAAAGAAGGGTTTAAGAAGAGCAAGAGAGAAAGTTTAAGCAGAAGGATTTATTTACTTGTTTTAGAGACAATAAAGACATTACAAGATCATTAGAATAAAGAGAATATTATAGGAATATTTAGAGAACAATATTCCAAAGAGTATTTAATAGTTTCTATTTATTATTTACTCTAATATTTTCTATCTAAAATATCTGTTGTCTGTAGGTTATTGTTTTTGAGGTAAAGAAGAAAAGCCTTCCTTTAAATAACTATTAGGTTGGCATATAGTGCCATACAACTATGTGGGGTATACTAGCATACACTAGCATACAACTATGTATGTTGTACTAAGATATACTATTATATACCCATGTAGTAAGTGGCATACACTGGCATACAACCATATAGCAGGTGGCATATACTAACATACAGTACAACTATATAGCAAGTGACATATACTGGCATACGGTATACAGTAGCATACAGCACACAGTAGTATACGGCATATAGTGACATACGGCACACAGTGGTATACAGCACACAATGGCATATAGCATATAGTGGCATATAGCACATAGTGGCATATGGCACATACTAGTATACGCTTCAATATTCTAACTATTTTAAATACAATATAAATTCTAATATAATATAAATTTAACAAGAATTATATCTAAAATATAAACTATAAATTATAAAGTATTGTTCCACAAAACTATTAGTGTAATATTATAAAGTTACTGTAAATTCTCGAAATAGCAGGCATAAGCATTAATTCAAAAATCGTGCCCCCTAAAAATTTCATAATTGGTTTCAAAATAGCACCTATGTGTTTTCGAAATAACGTGCACTCTATTATACATTCATATCATATCACATTATGTAAATATAATACATATTCAAAAATATATTAAACTTTAAGAATTGTTACGTATGTAGTCTTTATTGCTTGTTAAGAAAATTAAGAGCATTAATGCATTAACGCATTCATGCATTCACGCACTCACGCACTCACGCATTCACGCACTTATGCATTCATATAATTATACAGTCAGATCTCTAAATGCACCTATAGAGACCAAAACTCTAACAATATATATTTAGAGAATAATAGAAGAAAGTGCATTAATAGAGATAACGTATTTATTTAGATCTTAATAAGTGTACATTCATAGAAAGCACTTCTAGAAAATGTATTTAAGATTTCACTATACTTTTTTTGTGCAAGGTACCTTTAGTTGTTATATATAGAATTTAAGGTAAATGAGTAATTTAACATTTTATATTAAGTTGACTGAAGCAAACAAGAATTTTGTATTTATTAGAAGACAAATTATTTGTCTAGAACATAGAGGATATAAACTCAACATTTTTTTTTATTTTTAGTGGGAATTTTTCTCAGAAAGACAGAAAAAACTTTGGGGCAAGAATTTGAAAATATCAGATAAGTGGCAAACAATTTTGTAAAATAGTTTTATTGTCCCAGCTTTTGAGCAATTTCCCATTTAAAAAGATGATTCCAAATTATTTTTTCACAAATTAGCATGGTAAATCTTGCTTTTTTTTTTATGTTTCACTAAAAAATTCATTTTCTATTTTAGAAATTCCTATCAGTTTAATGAGTAGAGTAGTAGATACTTGGTTTGAAATAAATTATACACTTACCGCCTAGTAGTAATATTCTAGTTTCAATATAATATGTGGATCATTTTTAACAAACAGTGAAGTAATATTTAATGGATTATAAATTTATAGAATGTTTTGCCATACTTACTATCACACTCATTATCTGTCATATATTCATCTTCCATATCTTTATTTTCATCCACATTCATCATATCATCATCTGCATCATTGTATATATCAATATCCATTATTTCTTCATCCTTTTCTTCACTTGATAACTCATCAATCTCATTCATTCAGTCTTCAACAATTGCTTGTAAATGGTGCAACATTCTATTATCTTTGCTACCATCAGGGTTTAGGGTGAGTCCAGTTGATTCAAAGGATTTGATCAAAACTTCTTTACTGATTTCCTTCAAGTAAGTTAATTTTAGTAAATTTAAAATTTCATATAATTGTAATTTTGAATATATGATAATTTAATATAATTTTCATTATTTAAATACCACAATAGTGAAGCTACAATGTGAATTATTAAAAGGAGAAACTAATGCAGGCCAAACTTTTGTAATTCTGATATGCATATGAAAAAATTGTTGAATTTGAGTGCTGTCAAGAGAAAATAACACTTTGGGCTTTCATTTATATAATCGAAAGCCCGAAGTGCCATTTTCTCTTGGCAGCACTCAAATTCAACAATTTTTGTAATGCAATCATACCTTCCATGTTTGAGAAACCCATTCACAAACAAGCTTATATGGTGCTTTTTTGCAGTTGCCATTTTTGGTGAAGTTTTTTTTTTCTTTTTCCATCTATTCTTCTCATCTTTTTCGCACACCACTTTTGAAAGGCTTATTTACTGAAACATCAGGTGGCTGCAAAACACTAGTCATACTGCTGATATCTCTAAAACATCCAAACCTTCAAGATTTAATGTTTTAACTACATTATCATAGATATGGCTACGATAATGATCGATGAAAATTATACCTTTATTTTTAAAAAAACTATTTGGTCTCACTCTAATAACCTGTGGAATATAGGTGAAAACTATTAAATTTCCTTTCATGTTTGCATGAAATACTGTTGCTATCACAATGTTTTACGAAAACCTTTCCTTTAGTTTTTTTTTAAGCTTGAAAATTACAGTAGCTGGAAGCTTGTCACCAGAAGCTGTATAGCCTAGAACTATAGTAAATCGTACTTTATCACTTCCTGTGGTTCTAATAGGCACTTCGCGAACACCTTCAAACTCAATTGTCAAATTTCTTGATATGTCAAACCACATAGGTGTTTTGTCAAAAGAAATAATATATTTTTTTTCTATATTTTAAGTTTTTTCACGCGCAGTTTTAAGAAAGTTCTTAACAACTAAGAGTGTTTCTTCCGGAAACTTCTGCACAATTTATGTGCGAGTCCGTTCTACCAGGTTGTGTCGATTTTTAAAGCATACAACCTAGCCATGTGAAAACTGGGCATCTTCAAGACTAAGGGTTTGTCCTAACTCTTTAGCTTTATTTCTAATCATAAACATGATAATAGTTTGTCTTTCCTCCCTTTTTTTTTTAATGTAATCCAATAGTTCACTTTCTAACACAGATATTTGGCCTTTCTATCACGACCCTCAAGGGCTTATGCTTGATTTTTGTTCTTGATAGTTTTGAGTTGTTCTTTTTGCTTCCTCCATTCCTAAGCTCGTTTTCGATCAATATTATAAAATAATGCTGCATGATGGTTAGAGGTGTCTTCTGTATATGTAATCACCTCAAGTTTAAATATGATGATATAGCTTCGATTTTTGTGTTCTAAATTCATGTTTATTTGCAAATGATATAAGAGATTCATTCGTGTAAA